TTTCAAATGAAATTTAACACTGTGATAGCCATCTAAAGGATAATTTCTGTTCTGATGATATGTGGATAGAACAGTAAAAGGAAAAGAGACGGTGATTGTGTATGTACCAAAGCTATGAAAAAGGTACAGCATGGACTTGAATCTTACTTAAAAGTCTGTATGGGAGTTCCCCCCAATAAATGACTTAAGCAGAAGAAAAAATTAAATTGGAGCTTGTAGTGAACAGTGAGAAGCCAGTCCATAGGAAATTACACGTTATTTATGCTTCTCTTCTAGAAATTCCTTTTCTTTTGATATGCAGCCTCTACTAGCATTTTAAATATATATTTTATCCTTGAGTTGTGAATTTTGGTGGTACTGGCTGCCTGTAAATAGCCTGGGACAAGTGGAGTTCTGCAGCTGTAAGAGGCTGAATTCCTTCATTAGCAGTGCTATACCATGACTTTCATGGCATCACTTTCCAGTTAGTGACTTTGCACAATTAGGCGTGGGTCATCCAGTTTCACTTTGATGTGACAAATACCAATTGGCAAAAATGTACAGCAGCATTGTTAAAGAAAGGAAAAGCCTGAAAATTGTGCATTTGTTCATTTTTTAGTATCAAAAGCAAAGCAAAACCGAATAGTGCTCTGTCATTTGTGATTGCTTAGTAAATATGATGGTTTTAGCTGAGATGAGCTAGAGTATAAATCAGGTTTGTCAGGTGAGATAGCATGTTTTATTAGATAAAGCGATAAGCTGAGGGAGAAAAGATTTTTTGTGCCCCCAAGCTCTTCTTCTTCAAGCCTGAAATAAGAGCAGCCTGCATCAAAACAAGATACAGGCAGATGACAGTTGCCCTGAATTTACCTTAGTTATGCCACTTGGTTGAAGTACTGAGAGAATAAGGGGAGAGGAAATTCTACTGAGAGGCAGGAGGGCTCGCTGTATCTGTAAAGAGGTGCCTTCACAAGTGAGAAATTGAAGTGGTTAAGTCAGTACTGAGGGAGACAACTGATAATGTGGCATGAAATACCCAGAATCTGTAAATTCCAGTCTAAGCAGTGAGGAAATATCAGGACCCACTACAGCTGTAGCTCTCAGGCTAAATGGAAGCTTTCTCAAACAGCAGTGCTTTTTCTCTCCCTGTAGCATCCACCGATACACTGGAACAGACTGCCCAGGAAGGTTGTGGACTCACCATGCCTGGGGATTTTTAAGGGTACATGTGGCTCTGAGGGACATGGTTAGTGGGCACAGTTAGATGGTTGATGGTTGGACTAGATGTTCTTAGTGGTCTTTTCCATCCTTAATGATTCTTTGATTCCGTGTGTGTCACAGGCACTGTATACAGGGTGTGTAGGACATGTTTTGAGGGATAGCATGCAGTGCAGGCTTGCTCCAATGATGGGCCCTTTGGTGTGGCCTTTTTGGAGGCTTTGCTGCCCTTTGGCTAGATTTGCTATGCTGCAGGTCTCCAGCTCAGAGGCCCTGTGGGCTATGGGGTGAGAGAAAAATGCTGGGGTTGTGTCACCTGTGGACTAACGTGGCAAGAAAGGGCAAAGTCAGTGGCCAAGAAGCTGGTCTACTGTGTATTGTGAGGATGGGCAGAGTTAGTCTGGGACAGCAAGTGCAGAAATGTGAGAGATCAACAGAATCATAGGATCATTAAGGTTGGAAAAGATCGTTAAGATCATCTAGTACCAACCATCAATCTATCATTACCATGTCCACTACCACAACTCTTAGTGCCACATCTGCATGTTTCTTGAACACCTCCACCAACAGGAGAGCAAAACGGGGCCAATTAGAGTCATTTTGCTGCTGGGCCTTCTCCCCAGTGCTTGCATGGGAAGCTGGGAGGAAGAACTCAAATATGTGAAAGACGTCTCATTAAACCACCCATCTAACACCAGCTGAAGGCATTATAAAAGATTGCTGATAGCTGAAGTCTTATGCAGGAGGACAGGTTAAATTATTGTGCAGTTCCTCATGGCCTCATAAGCAATGAATCTGTAAAGCTGTGAAGTGGGTTGTTGCTTTCACCATTGAGGAATTCATCACTGTAGCCAAATTAATGACTGCTTCTCAAAAGTTTCTCCTGCTACCTGAAGCACTGATTTGCAGCCTGCTGTTTGTTATCCATGGCGTTTTTAGGCTTCACCCAGATGAGTATATTGCTTTGTGTATTTAATGTCTGAGCCCAGCCTATCTAACCTTGATGCTGCTCATAGTTTCACTTTATTCTTTTGCTGGGGTTGATGATGACAGTGTAACAAATTACCCAGCAAAGAGCTTGCTGTTTATTTCCTCTGTGACTGTTTCCTCCAATCCTTTGAATGGGCATGCCTGCAAGTTGACCTTGTGGTGGGAGGAGTAAGGCTGAGATGTTTCATTGCTATGTTAGATTGTGCAGTCTCCATCTGAAGATGAAGTGCACGGTTCTCAATGGTGCCAGAGAAGGGGGAGTGAAGCAAACAGGTCAGCTGAGTGGCTGCAAATGAGTTTGTAAAGTCGTAACTGCAAGGCATAACACCAACTAGCTGATATGCTTTGCTGTCAGTGTTATGTGAATAAACACCCTGAGCTGCATTTAGTCAGCTCAGATTATTGCCAGCATTATCCTGATCTGAGCTTATCACTTAATTTTTTTTTCTGTATGCTTCTATCAACTGTCAGGGGTTGAGAGCTATGGAGCAACAGTCAGAAGGCTGCAGGGCAGGACCTGATTACAAAACGTAATGGGTTAAATTAATCCTAGAAAAATGAGTAGAAGGGTGTTGGTTGTGTTCCCTGGCAGGTCTGGAAATTGTATGACTAGAATAATTGCATTAGCATGGTTGACACTGAATATGTAGTGGTTTTCACTTTGATGCTATCTGTTACCACAGAACATCAAAGCTGTTAGCTCCTATTAATTAATTTGGGCCTTCAATCAGCTGTATTCAGAGCTTTGCTGCTGAGGTATCTGAAGATTCAGCACCATCTTTAGATCTGTTGTGTCCAGGATGGATCAGAAGCTCTAGACCTCAAGAAACAAGATGTCTCTAAATTCCATCTGATGGGCTTTCATCCTATCTGTGCTGGGGAATAAATAAATAAATACAGAGTTGTGACTTAGGACACGTTCTGTGCAATCAACACCAGTAATTAAACAAACAAGCCAGTGTTTTTGTTCCTTCCTGCCCTGGTTAGGTTGCTAGCATCATCTGTGGCGTGCAAACAGCTCTCAAGCTACTGTTCGTCTTTCCAGTGTCCCCAGCCTAATTAATTGGCCACAGGTGCAGACGGGCACACTAATTGCACCAATGCATCACTTTTGAGCAGCCCCAGTCATGCCTGTGTAATGGGAACAATGCAAATCGAGCAGGTTTTTGTGGCAGTCCGATGTGGAGCGTGGATAAATCATGAAGGCCCAGTTCTGCCACCTTTATTCTCAGAGAGTGAGACACTGCGTGAGCAGTGGTGTTTGAAACGCCAGGACTAATGGCGAATAAAATGCTCTCAGCGTGACTAAGTATTGCTGAACAGCAGATTAACACACTAGGCCAGTGCTTATCTAAAACTACTTGTTTTCCTCTACTTACGCCATGAGATTGTTGTCTCTGATTATATTTGTTTTTTTTTTCCCTTTTTTTTTCTGTGTACACTCAAATGTTGATAAGAGCTGCCTATGCAGAGACCAAGGGATGGATAAGGTCTGTGTAACACAGTAAAAATAAAGCACCTGGGTGGAGTTCAGCTGCTAAATCTTAAGGCTATACTTAAGCTATTATTACCTTCAGCTGGGTATAAAGTACTAATGTACCTCATCAAGAAAACAAATTTACAATTGCTTTGATAGTGGTTCCCTTTCCAGGAAGAGCCAAAGTAAACAAAGCGTAGGCTGAAACAAAGCCAGGCTGCCCATGGATGTATTGAAAGAGGCCTTGTTGAAGTCAGAATAGTTGTGTACTATTAAATGACACAGATTTGTTTTGCCACAGTGTTGTTATGGCAGATGCACAGTCCCAAGGCTGTCTTACAGAGACATGCAGCAGCATGGTAGTACCCAGCTGGACAAAATTCTCTCCCGTTCCTGGGCTGTCATCACGGCTCCTTTGGCTAGGTATCCTCTCTGTAGGTGAAACCTACCCGTGGTCAAAGCCCCCCCAGTGCTGTCCTGTCTCACAGCTCCTCCACTGGCCCTCCATTAACCGCTCTCTGTGTTTTGTCCTTCCCAAGGGCCCATGTCAGGGTTGGAGCCAAGGAGGATCTCCCTTCCCAGTGCCCAGCTTTGCCCCAGGCTTCTCCTCAGGTCTGTCCCTTCTGTGACTCTGCACCAGTTTCCTGCTGCGCTGTGAAAAAGTGGCTCTTGTTTACATCTTCTTCCACAAGTTTCCTCTTCTACAGGCCCTGCATCTTCCTGGCAACATCTCTGGGAAAAAGGGGGCAGGGCTGAAGCACTGGGCTTGGTGTACCAGGTGTCTGGAATAAGCTAATCTGGAAGAAGTAAAGCAGATATAGGGCAGGTGGTTTACCAGTTAACAGTCTGCATCCCAAAATATTGAATTCTTTGCCTATGCCTAAGTATGGTTTAGTGGGCAATGGTGGTAGGTGAATGGTTGACTAGATAATTTTAGAGGTCTATTTCAACCTTGGTGATTCTATGATCAGTGCGTGTAGGCGTTCAAACACTGTTGGGAAGCTAATAGTAGCACTGCTCTTTCACCTCAGTGATAAACATGGGGCATTTTTCAGGTGCCTGTGGGCAGACTATTGAATGGGGAAGCTCTAAGCTCTCTGCTGGCACTGAGCATGATGCCTGAACATGCCCTGCTCATGTGCTCTGGCCGTGCTCATTGACAGATCTGGGGACAAGAAAGTTCCCTTTGAGTGTTTTTTCTTTCGATTTTTTTTAGTGCGTAGGAAAGCTTAGCTACTGGAGTCTCCAACACACATCTGCCAAACAGGCTGAGATTTATCCTTGATAAATCCAAGTTTTCATAATGCTCTATTTTTTTTTTTTTTTTTAGCTGTAGAGCAGACTACTTCTGCAAGACTAAAATGAAGAAAAAAACCCAACTGCCAGCCCTCCAGATTACAGCTCTTTCAGGTCTTGAGCAGCAGCCATTCTAAAATACCTCTTTAAAAATGTGTTCATATCTTGTTTTTAAATGAAAGCTCTGACCTTAATAACTTGACAATGCATGGTAGAATTCAAAGTGAATTAAAACTTGTTTAAGATATAGTTATATAGGATTTAATGCAGAAAGACATTTTAGAATATGGTTCATCTGAGAAGTACTACAAAATCTAATTGCATATTGATGTATCAATCAAAACTGTATATTACTGTAATTAAAACAACCTTCTAAATACTTCATAAAACCGTGAATGGTTAGTAAGTTCAAAAGCAAGTGACAGTAGAAAATTCAGACAAAGCATGGTTTTGTTCTTTCTTTTGCTAATGTAGGTATCTGTTTTAGTGAATTGTTCCTCTTGTGTGCCTGCATGGTTTTAGTCTGACAGCAGGGATGATGGAGAAGTTTGCTAACAGCAATTATCTCTCAAAATATATGGTGTGCAATTAAAAAAAATCAAAGCGAAAGAACAAATGTTCCTGCTCATTTCCCCAAACCATGTGTGTAGCTTGAGGACATTTAGCACAAACTGAAGCCTGTTTTATAACTGTCCATATATACATGTATAAAATATATGTGCATGTGTTTAGTGTTACGCACGTCGTAAGACTTCACGTGGCATTCCCTGAGTTGCCTCATGAGCATGGGATTTGTTTTCATGAGGATATAAAAAGCTTGTAGGGAAAAGCTTGCAAGAATCCATTACCTAAAGTAATAATAAGGTTGGAGTTCTCACTCTCCAATGGAACTCACCTCTACACAGAGATTTTCAGTTTTGCAGTTTTGCTCTCTCTCTTTCAACTCTTTCACGCATGCATGCAAACAGGAATACTCTCCTATGACACGACTTCAATTATCTGGTACCATTCCTCTAATTTTAAAACACCATTCTCTTTCATCTTTTGAATAATTTAATGTGAATGTCGTATGCAAACCGATATTATGCACCGATGTAATATGTGTGTTTGAATCTTTGCAGGGTTGATTCATAAAACAACTGGCTGCAGATTGTAGCATACCACAAGCTGACTGTGAGCACCCCAGTGTATCCTCAACTGTGCTTCTTTGCTCAGCAGTCATCAGGAAATTATTCAGAGGTATGTGAAAGCCAAAAGTATGGTGAACTGGATCAGTGGAGATCATTGATTTCTTTTTACTGATTGACTTTTGAATTCCAAATAAAAAATTCATTCTTTGCAACTGCATTCGTAAGATGTTTACTTCTGCTGCTCTTCCTTTGATTCAGTTTTTTTTGAGGAAAGCAAGAACAAGTGGATGCTGATCAGCTCAACACCCAAATAGCACAGCATCTCTGGGAGTTTTCCCTGGCAGCAGAATGTAGCTGAGTCTCTTGCCCATGGCAGGTTGTTCTGTTGATTAACATGACCTTTCTTTTTTTGCTTCAGCACTCTTGGATCTTTTTTTCCTCTCAAGCTTCTCTGAAGTACAGCTGCTGCCAGAGCACCACATTTTCACACTTATGAGTCCATACCCCTTCAAGGACAGTGGGAACACTGCAGAACAGTAATTTGTATGCTCAGGTAACTTGTATAACTTGGAGCTGCATCCTGAGAATACACAGAGTGGCCTCTGGGAGACGATGTACTGGAGTTTTACTGGATGCAAGAAATCAGAATGGCTTAAAGTCAAAGAGGCTCTTGCAAAAAAAATGGCACTGGAGCAAACACCCCTTGCATTACCCGTCTGTGTGTATAACCTAAACTGTTGCTGAATTGCTGTGGTTTCTCACAGAATAATAACAAGCTATGTGTCCTTTCTTTCATTTTCCCCTCTGTGCATCTTTCACTTCTTTTTCCTCACTTGCAACCACAGTTCATTTTTCTCTTCTTATGGTTGTCACCTTATGCAGGAGAAGAAAACACGTCATTTCCAGGATAATTCTAACTATGGCATTTTGGTCAGTGTGTAAAATGGTCCAGATCCCTTGGGTGTCTTCAAGATGCTGCTGTGAAAAAGAGCTTATTTGGGCTTTGCTTGCAGTCTTTGTGGTTCCACCTGGGAAGCAGGTACCTGAGGTTTGCTCCTTGTGTAATTTGCACAGAGGAGCTGTGCTAACAGCCCATGCAGAACATTGGAGGATCAGATAACACCTTTCTCATTCCATACTCATCAGGGAAAGGTAATGTTTCCCTCTGGATTTCAGAACTGTTTTTATTACAGTGTCTGCAGATTGGGCTGATTGCAAAACCAAGTGGAATGATGGAAAACAAAGACACCTCTCTGGCCTTTAGAAACAACAAAGAAGCTGCCACCTCGAAACCATCAGGGATGTGTACCTTTTTCTCCTGCTTTGAGCCAAAGGGCAGTTACTCTCCTATTAGCTTTTCTGTGAGCTGACTTTCTGTTTATTGATTTTATGACCTTTCAGGCACCGTCTGTCAGTCTTCTGCACTGACAGCTTTACGAGGATCATTTGTATGGTCAGAGCTCAGAAAATCTGTCTATTTTTGGTTCTTTCAGAGTTGGGCAGATTCATAAAATCCTCTGGGCCCGGATGCTGATATCATTTCTCACCTCCAGTAGCACTGTGCTTTGCAGGCCAAATCCGTGCAGCTGCTCTGTGAGCCTGAAGAATTCAGACCACAGAATTAGCCTTTGGGGTCCACTTTTGCTCTCAGTGAAGTTCAGGAGGAAAGTCCTCCAAGGTCACAGTAACTACTTGAGTGCAAACTTTGGTTCATGCACTCCTCTACGGAAATCTGACTGCATGCTAATGATGTTGAATTCTGCATCTAAAAATAGCTTCCTTTGTGCAAATGAGAGGTTTGCTTTGTTCGTGTTTGTTCCTCTGTCCCTGACTGATTGTTTCTGTCTGTCAGTAGCAACAAAGCCTCATTGTTCTGGTGCTCTGACTGAGACCATTAAATGGATCTTATTTGCAGAAACTACTGAGCCTCCAAGCCCTTGAGATGCCTGCCCTTCGGGGCTTCACCTTGGATGGCCAAAACAGTGGGAGCCGCACCCCCTCCCTGCAGCAGTATTGGGCTGGGATGCAGCTTTCTGCAACTTGGTCATTTGAGCCCACCTAGTTTGTGATTGTCAGGGAAGCAGAGATAGTAGATTGCTCTTCAGATTTTCATCTTAGCTTTTCGCTGAAAATAATGCCACGTCTTTGCAAGTGATCTCTCACTTTCCTTTGTTTTTATCCTGCTGGCCATTTATCCTCCATTCACCGGCCTCACAAACAACCTCATTTTTCATCCCTACTTCTCCATTTGTGGACACTTCAGGCTACTGCCTGTTGTTCTTCCCCAGCAACAAGCTCATTCGCATTCCATATTCAAAACCCACAACATGATCCATTGAACAGAAAAGTGCTTTTGCTTTGCACTGTTTGTTTGAAACAGTCCTGGAGATGACATTATAAATGAGCTCCTATATCCCAATTGCTTTGTCCTGCTTAGCAAATTCAGTAGAAAATGGCAAGGAGCTTTCAGTTTGAGGGCAATCAGCTGCTTCTCTTCCTGCTGATGTGATGTCTTTGTTCCCCTTCTGTTTCATGGGAGGCACCAGTTTCAGTTTTTAGGTTCATGGGGGAGGTTTTGAAAAGGGCAGTTCATCACAGTTTCCGAAAGAGAACAGAATAGAGGTGGTCTTCAGGAATGAAAAAAGGGGGCTGAATTGGTTCAGCCACACTCACAGATAATCCAAAAGCATGATTTTCTCTATTCTGATGGTCAAAGTGAGTCTGACTTTTCAACTGTATTGTATTGGTTTTGCTTGCTTCAGCAATATTGGAAGTGCTGAAGCAAATATCACAAGGAACATCCTTGCCCAGGTGTCTCCAGCCAAGCTGGACACAGGAAACAAACTGTGAGAATCCTGCTACATTAGTTTTGCTGATTTCAGAGGTTCTAGCCTGTGTGTCATTCAGATCACTGATGTTAACAAGGAAATTAACTCGTTATCTAAATTATTTGTTTATCCTAAAACCAGATAGGTGACTGCTTTTGACTCACACCAAGTGGGAATAACCTACGGTCATCCAAATATCAATTCCTGATCCTTAGATTAATGTGATGATATTGCCTGGATGTGCTATCTGTTTTAACAGATTTTCTCAGTTTTCTTTTAGCTTCAGTCATATTCTACATTCATCAAGGTCTCAGTCAAGCCCACTGGCTACTGATGTCATGTTCCCATTTACAGAGCAGGGAAATAATACCATGTGGGTTAAAACGTAATTTTGAGACATAATGAGTGTCAATATTTATCATAATAGAGGGTATCATATGCTTTAGCACTTACAGTGGTTACTACAGTAATTCAAAATACCCTAGATCATATCATAAAAATGGCTTTTCTAAAAGTTCAGAAAAAAAGGATTTTAAATATGATCTTGAGAAGAAAGCTGTCCTCAGGAGTGAGATCATATCCTTCCTAGGGAGTTCATTAGCACAAGTTTGTTACCTGTACGTTTATGGGGGCCACTCTTCTCTTTCCCCAATACTGTTCATCTAGCAAGGGGCTCACCTGCATGGGGGAAAGCTGCTCATGCAGAGTCACTACAGTTGTTTCTTATGGTCTGGCAGACAGATTATGAAGAAGCAAAAGGTGTGCATGGTTAACATGGGCAAGAATTTTCTGGAATAGTGATTTAAGATAGATTTCTGAAGATATTAAGAACTGTTTAATTTGAAATGTGCAATATACTGGCTTCAACAGAGTGGAGTTCTAGTCTCCTAAAATCAACTGGAGTACAGAAAGCTGAATCTCAAAGCAGACAAATACAGAGAGACTACATGAAGGAATCAGAAGGGTATATTTTTTTTTACAGCAGTAGTGAAATTTAGATAATACTTGTGGCTGAAGTACTGGTTAGCGAATGGTGAAATAGTGTTTTGTAGCTGAGAATTTTCTCTATTAAATAATGTTCTTGTGCTTTTTGTATCTGTGACAGTTTTCATGGAAAAAAGTAGGAGGCACTATTTTCGGAGCAACCTACACACTACCATACGCATGGTTCTCTGCCTTTGAGTGCTGTCTCTGAAGAAGGACTCTATCCCAGCAACTCTCTTTTCAGCAAGGAAATCAGATGGATGTTCCAAAAAGGGAACAATTTTCCAGCACTGTTCAATGGAAGACCAAAAGGAAGCCCATGTTAAACACTGGTTTGCAAACCAGCCAATTCAAAACCTCTCAGTACTTCTAATATAGACAGACACTCATAAGCTGAACTGCATGGCGTCTTGGCTTGTCAACAGGAAAACAGAAGTCCTTCATTTCACGGAGCTGCACGCCTACTGCATTACCTAACACCAAATACATCACGTACCATCTAGTTTATCATCTGACTTAAATTTGAGATACCACACTCAGGCAGCACTGAAATGATAAAAGTAAAAAGCCATGAACAAAAAGAAGAATGTGATTTTCCACGCCAGTGAGCAGTACAAGTGTGCAGTATCAGCGTACAGCAAGTGCAGTTTAGGTTGTTACCGAGACAGAAAAGAATAGCAACAAATATGAGCAAAATTTTTTGGAGTGCTGCTGGCACGCGTGCGGCAGGTGAGGCCGGCGCACGGTGATGAGCATCAATGGACGGCGACATCGCTGTGGGCCGGGTGGTGATGTCACCCAGTGAAGGTGAGCACTGGCGACACGGCCGAGCCATGGTTTGTGACGTCTCCGTGCGACGCATTGTGACTGCTTGGCCCACGCTGCTTGAACGAGGGCGCGGCAGCCCGGCCCGGCAGTTCGTGCCTGGCCTCCGACCGAGCGAGTGTGCGAGGACTGGAGTGTGGACAGGGCGAGCTTGGGAGCTGAAACGTGCTCTGGGTGCTGCTAGCGCAGCTCTCAGACGCCGTCTCAGAGCCACTTTGCTGTACCCCGACCCTGCTGGCAGCAGGCAGCCGGGACATCGCGGAGAGGCGCGTGCAGCAGCGCAGGTAGGCAGCGTGGCCATGCCTCACGCCTGCAGCTGGAGGGGGATTCTTGAGGGACCCTCCCCAGACCGGCCCATGTCCATGGGGTCTCTTGTCTTCCTCCAGCATGACGCCTGCTGTCACAGCATCTCAGCTGGGGAGCACATCGTCATCTCCCTTCTCTCCCATGCTCACCGCAACTGGTGGAAGCATGGAAGTGCCATTAGACAAACACTGCCCATAGGCTTGGAGAACTGGGACAGCGTGGATGCACCATGCCATGCTGCCACCAGTTTTGTTTCCACCGTACCCAGCTATGGACTAGCAGCAGGCCCCAGTGACCACTCTGCAAACAGGGCGTGCAGTCCATTATCCACACAGTGTGGGCAGACAGCAACTGTGAGGAGCCGGTCCTCAGCCCAGCCAAAGTGGGATCCATTGCTGCATATTGAACCTGTCAAGCTTAGTCATGGCATCTTGTGGCACCAATTAATCACAGGTTGGCTACAAGTTACATGGGCAGTAGAAACCTGCAATTTTTATTTCCCCAAGTCTATCACCGTTACAAAGGAAAATCACGGAATGATGGTGGGCAATGGAGGCCCAGGCTGGGGCCCCATCACATGCAATGATGGACAGTGAAGTCACCAACCAATTTGTTGTGATGTCAGCAATGGAGATGACTGTGACCTCGTTAGCCTTTCCTGTATAGATTTGGGCTCTGGCAGAAGCCAGCGTGCACTCGTGCCTGGACTCCAGTTGAGCATAGCTGCGAGACTTGGAGCACTGAGCGAGTTGGTTGCGTTGAGCTGTGGGGCTGCTGGCACCAGTTCTTGGTGCCCGTCCCACAGTATCAGCAGCGTTTCCCTCAGCCCTGCCTGCCTCGGGCAGCTGGGGCCGCACAGGGTGCGCTTGTAGTGGCAGAGGTGAGTGGTGCAGGACATCACGGCCCCTGCAGCAGCTGGTGGGGAACAGGGACCGGGAGGGTTTGCTGCTGAGGGACCGGGGCAGCGAGTGACCGTGGGCTCTCTCTCTCTTTTGCAGTTCGTAACACCTTCTGCTTGCTGCAGCACCAGCGAGGGGAGCAGCTTCCCGACCTCAGCTCTCCCCAGCCCACCGCACAGCCCGGGGCCATGGACGTGGCATCCGACTGGGTCTGCCCCATCTGCGGGCAAATTCGGGAGGATGTCACCTACGTGACCCCCTGCCAACACCAGTTGTGCTACGGCTGTGCCATCTGGTGGGCCTACAAGAAGCCGAGTTGTGCCGTATGCGGGCACGAAATAACAACCATCCGATACTCGGTGAGGTCGGATGATGACTTCCTCGAGTGTGCTGTCCCGCAGCCCGCAGCACACTCAGACCAAGATCAAGGCCTGCAGGAGGAGCAGGGGCCTGCAGAGCCGGTGCTCATTCCACCTGAGCACAGCTTTCCAGCCGAGGTCTGGGCTGCATTTTTCAGGGAACATCAGGAAGACCTCGAACCCCTGCTCCAATGGCTGCAGGAGGAGATCCAGCAGCAGTCCAGCAATGACTGGTGGGAAGTCCATGCGGGACAGTGGACCACCATTAACTTCCTGTGCGAGCATGGACTGGACGAGGAGGCCTTGCTGCAGGCGCTGCAGCCGATCACCAATGGCGATGTGGTGCCCTTTGTGAGAAGGCTCATCGGCACCGCAGCAGCCCTGTACGGCCCCACGATCCGCCACGAGCTGGACCACCGGGACAGCCACGCTGCTGGAGGACGGGAGGACGGCCCTGCAGCCAGCACCATCACCAGCACCTCCCATCTGGAGCCTCCCGCCTCGGGCCCAGGCCGCTCCACCAGCCCCGCAGGGCCCAGCGCCGAGGAGCTGCCCGGCAGCTCTCCTGGGGGACCCGGGCGCCCCAGCACCGCCACCGCGCCCTCAGCGGAGGAGCCCCAGGAGGAGCCAGGGCAGGCGGCGGCAGCGGGCCCCTCCGCCCAGGGCAGGGACCGCTCGAGTGGGGGGCCCCGGCGCCCCCCGAAGAGGAAGGCCAGCAGCAGCCGCCAGGACTCGTCCCCACCCCGCAAGAGGCGGCCCCGGCGGCGGCGCTAGGCCGGCACCGCACTGCCGTCAGAGCACGGCTCCGGCAGGCCGGGAGGACGACATCTACCTCTCGGCCTGCTGCTTGCAGACTAAATAAATAAAATGAACATCTGTTACAACAAAGAAGAAAAAGTCTCTGTGTTATTGACCAGGCCGTTGGCGTTGCTGTCCCTACCCATGATGCTTCCTCCATATTCCGCTCCTTGGGGAGGGCGTAGAAACACAACCTTATTTCCACCACCAGGAATCGGCACTCATGGCAGTGCTAACAAACCATGTGAGGGCTTCAACAAGTCGGAGATGGAGCACAAGTTACTCCAATGATCCCGCCATTTAAACTAGCGGGGGGAAGGGCAAATTTCTGCCCCTGGGGTGGAACACCTCCTGGCCACACCGCAGCTGGGGCGACCCAGCTAGACAGGACCCAGGAGTCCTGCCGGACTCTTGGCTGAACCAGCAAGGAGCGCTGCCCACAAAGGTGAGTGCTGAGCTGGGCTGCACCAGGTGCCAGCGTGCTGCCAGCGTGCAAAGGGCGCTGATCCTGCCCCTCTGCTCAGCTCTAAGGAGCTGGGCCCAACAATAGGCTCCCCAGCGCAGGGGAGAGCTGCCCTTGATCATCTTGCACGTCCTCAGCCCTGGGATGTGCTAACTGTCCCTGTCCCAACTGCCCAGGGATTGCTCGGCTCAGTGCTGAGTTTGGAGGATAGTGGGGCTTGCTGTGAGGAGCAGGGCTTCTCCCCAGCCAGTCTACCATGGAGGTGTGACACTCCCTCATATGTTTTCAGTAGGAGGACAAAGCCAAATTCTCTATTTTAAGAGCAGGCATTCAATTTGTCTGGCTCAGCTTTTCAATCCAAAGTTCATGCTAAATACAATTCAAAATACCAGAGGGTTCTTTGCTATCAGGAATCTGCTTTCCAAAAGTATTTACCAAAATGTTACACCAACCTTTGTAAGTGATGTAACTTCAAAAACAACCATTTCAGCAATTTTAATGACTACCATAATTCCAGAAATAGTTTACATTTTCTGTAGAAAATAGACATGACAAAAGTCAAAGGATTTTCAGACTTTCAAAACCACACTGCTGTTGTAAGTATTCAAACAAATGTAAAGGTACTGATTTCCACAGGTTCATTAGTTGAATAAATGTTGTTGGAGAAAATTTCTCCAGAACATCATACAAGAAAGAATTACACTGTAATTCTATTTTGTTTACTGTATTTTATCAGGGGAGGGGAGAATACAGTCTCTTTCTGAAAATAAACATTCTAAAAGTTTGAATTGGATTCCCATTTTAAAAAGCAGCATGATCATATTCCTTATCTCAAGATAAGGAAAAGACAAGATACAAGGGCCAAAGTGGAAAACACTTTTTTTTTTCTCCACTTCCCTTGAACCAGTGGGTGACAGAACTACATTGCTAAGGTTACTTTTGTATTTCCATACTGCCTGACTGCAGTGGTTTACAAAACTCCTTTGGAATGACAGCAGAAATAACAAGAATATCTCAAGGGCGGAGTGACTTCATACTCTCAGCTCCAGAAATATTGGGCTGCAATCAGCAGGGAAATCTTCATCCCAATACAAATGTATGCATCATAATTACAAGAAGTATTCAGAGCAGGGCTGTCACGTTCTTCGTTCCTTAAAGAAGTCTGTTCCTTTCAGCTCTTCTGGCAGATAGTCCTGCTCCACAGGTTCCTTGTACATGGGGTTAAATTATACTTGTAGCCTTTACCATAGCCCAAGTTCTTCATGAACCTCGTCGGGGCATTTCTCAGGTGCAATGGAACTGGTGGTAACGGTCCTGTGTGCATCCTCAGACATTCTTTGACATTGCCATACGCCCTGTACACCTCTACAGACTTTGGTGCTCTTCCAAAATACATTACACCTTGTGCTAGACTGACCTTGAAACAAGAAAGGGGAAATTCCGCTATCATGCTTAGTAAATTAGTTTTCCCTCTCAGCTTTTTGCCACTGTTTTGTTTTCAGGTCCATCTCCCTGCCTTTTTTCTTCATGCCCCTTCCCCCTCTCCCAGGGTGTGGGTCTTCTGCCCCAATTAGTCACAGAATCGGGCTGAACCAGCCCAGAAACCACTGACATTTTAATTGGTCCATTGAATGGGAAAGATGTACTTTAAGAACGAACCTCTTGGTACTCTCTGAGAGCTTTGTTAGAAAGCTTATCAGTACTGCAGGACTTGTGTTGCAAACAAGGCCTTGAAGTTCATGCAGATTGCCAATACTCTGTGAAGTTTATAAAAATGTATTTGCTTTCTCTGGTAAAACTGTTCTTCAAATACCTATCTGGTATCTGCATAAAGTGTGGTAAGAATTGGACACTGAAAGGTACATCCTGTAAGTTATGTCTGCTGTGTATGTAATGCCTCCTACTTGATTGTGTTGGCCCAGGAAGTTAGAGGTAGGCATTGGTAGTACGGCAGTAGGGATTGAACCTTCCCACCAATACTCCATTACGTTTTGTTGCTCTGTGACAGCAGGCATCAGAAGGGCAGTCTGACCAGTGTCTGACGTGGAAGTGTGTATGATTGATGTCACTGAATTCCTCCATGTGGAATAAAAGGCATCCACTGACACTCATTGACACTTAATGAGTGTTTATGGGCAGCAAAGAGTGGATGTGAGTACAGTGAGGCTGCAGGTGGTATATTTCAGCAGTGGCAACAGCACCGTGAGATACAAGCCATGTGAGGGATAGCTATGTTCAGCTGTCAATAGTTTGATATGAAAAGTGTCTCGATCAGAGAGAAAGGTCTGGACAAGTGCAAGACAAGATGTAGCTGGAAGCTAAAATTACACCAAAAGAAACATCAAATAAAGCACGGATTTTGAATTAGGAGCTCCGTGTAGCAGCATAAAAACAACAAACAAACGAAAAACAAACACAGATTTTTTTCCAATCCTCCTGATGTTTGTTACCTCTTTGTAAAGTACGCTTGAACAAGTACAGGATACTGGCTTCAGTAGAAGACTGGGTGAGTGTTAATTGTTTTTAAAATACAGAGGCCAATCTTGGGTTGATTAATTACTGCCTTTTAGTGACCTTAAGCTCCACGAGCCCCAATCTATTGGGCTCTCTCCTTTCAGTCACAAAGAATTCAGAAATCAGTATCCTTTTGTATTATTTACTCAGATATGGTATCTTCTCTCTGAGTCATGACTATAGGATATAAAAATGATAGATGCTTTAGCATTTAGAACTCTCTTGCATAAGCTCATAGTTCAGTCCTGAGACTGTGGACTCTGTTTTGTCATGCAGTTTATAACTTCTGTTGCTGTCTTATCACTTAAATGTAGGATTTTGGTTTCAGATGCGGATGCTATCACAGGATTTGAACATAATGCCATAATTCCTGTCATGCAGTCATGCACAGCATGTTAAAAAGTGCTTAACTTAGTGTGGGCTTTTGCATGGCTCACGTGTTTGCTGTCACCTGAATTCTAAATTTCTTGGCCTTGGGTGCTGACCTCGAGGCACCATTGTCTTCTGATTACTGCATGTTTTGTCAATTCTGGCATGAGTCACATTCTGTACAGCACAAGCACACCTCTATTATACCACAGTTTCTCTTAGATGCGAAAAAAAATATGTGTGGGGGGAATTGACTCACTTTATATCCAGCTACTGTGAAACAGGAGTAGTTTTTGGAAAAGATGTGGAGAAAACAGATCACAATGGAATCTTGGTATTTCATAGGTAAATCATGGACAAAAAGAGTTTTAAAGTAATACAGTGATGCCAGAGGCTTTTTACAGCAGATGATATTTTCCTCACTAGCACTCAATTTCAGTATAAATGCAATTATCTGGAGTAGACTACATTGGGGAGTATAAGGGAAAATCCTTTAGTGTAGAAATTGTCCCATGAATGGCTTTGGGGAAGCACTGTCCTGGAGAGCAGGAGGTTATTTTTCACAGATATTTTTGAAATTGGTGATGGAAGGAAGTCAACTGCATTCCAGCTAAGCTTGAAACTTGTTTTTCATCAAGCTCAGATTTTACTTTCCCCAGTAAGATTGTGATACACTTGAGGCCGGTACTCTGTGATCTCATTCAGGGAATCATAGAATCATAGAATGGCCTGGGTTGAAAAGGACGTCAAAGATTATCTTGTTTCAACCCCTGTGTCATGGGCGGAGTCACAACCACTCCTCACTGTCATCTTGACTGTTCTGAACTGCCTCCAACATCTGAATGAAGAGACACAGAAACAAATCATACAGCAGATTTCCTCATATCTTTCTCCTATGTTCTAATTTTAGTACATGTTATTACCTGAAATGCTGATCCTCATAAAAATAGGTCTTCATAGAAACTGTCTTCAGCCATACAGGACGGCACCTGAAAGTTCCATATTCTTCCTCACAGAGATTGGGATACTTCATAGGAGTTGCTCAGAAAGCCCTGGGTGAACAGACTGTCTTTTATCACCCTATTGTCTAAATGAATATTTCTGTCTTGGTTATTTGCTTCTCATCTTCTCCAATCTAGAGTTTGAAGTGTGCTTTGGCTAGGTATTTGTCTTAAAGGGACAAGTAGAAATACATTTTCTAACAGGTGGAATTGTACTTGCCACTGAGTTGTTTTCTGAATTGAATGTGCAGAAGGTGCCTCCCAGCCAAGCATCAGTCCCTGCAGGTTGCTGCGGCTAGTAGAGCAAGAAATGCTTTCCATAATGTAAAATTTTGTTGATGATCCCTCACTGGCCTGTAGATACGTAACACTCTTAGCTAGTTTTTTCGTTTTGTTTTGTTTTTAAGAACTATTAAAAACACTTTCACTAATATACACAGCCAGTTTATGTAATCCATAAATTGTTAAGTCTGTAATTTTGCACAGGCTTATATAATTGGGAAGGGTTGAGAAGGAGCAGTACCCCTGCTTTTCTTTAAGTGGCTTCTTCCAAATTGCTGTATGGATAAAGGCAAACACATTTGTGCTCACATGCTCTGACCAGATTTGGTAGTTACCTCTTTTGGCCCCTCAATAGACTGCCAGCAGGGCACGCCACAGCTACTCCTGGAGAGGTTTAAGCCCATGACAGCTTGGGCAGTTGAATGATGACTTTGGTGTGTAAGCCACCTACCTTCAGAAAATCCATTCTGCATAGCAGAATCTTATAGTTACAAGTGATCACACGTCAAGCATCTATGGAAGCAGCAGCCCCACACTATTATTCGTGTGAATGCACCTTATGAGTTACCTTCCAAAACAAAGGCTGGAAAGGCACCTAGGCAAAGTACAGTCTTCTAATTAGAATGGAATAATCTGTGGAGAGTAGCTGCTCCAGACTCCATTCAGTGTGCAGATGCATACCCAAAACCGCTTGACTTACGCCTTGCTCAGAAATCCTGTCATATTCATATTTCAGAAAGTTATTGGTTCACTGAGTGCCAGGTTTTTACTGCCTGGGGAAAAAGCAATATTTCCCCCTTACAATCTAATCTTGAAGGCTTCGAGGCAAAGCTTTTCCTTGACAAAGGCAAAATATTTTATTTTGCATGACTAAGGGACCAGGACCTTAATATATACAATCTTTTAATCTGGCTCATGTTTTAATGCTCACGGAACTGAAGTGCCTTATGAATTACAGGCTGACATCTCCTTTATCAAATGAAATGACTAAGTTGGACTCATTCATGGAACGTTTCTCAGCACAAAACTCACTGCTTTCTATTTCCATCAAGAGCTGATCCATAGCATACTGATTTGTACTCACTGGTAGACATTTAAGTCTTTTTGTGATAAAACTATGTGTTTTGCCATTTGTGACTCAGTAGAAACATCCTCTCCTGTGCTCCAGTGATAGTTTCAAGATAAATAATAGTATGTTCAGAATGGTTTGAATTATATAATTTCAGCTACCATTTTAGCAGTAATGTGCGGTACTTTAAGATACGTGAAATCACCTTCAGGTTTGGGAAGGTAAGCATTGCGAAAGTACTTTGAAAACTCATGTGGTAGACAGATATACCATTGGCAAGAAATTAAAACAGATAAAAACCATCATAAGAAAATCAACCCCTTGATTAAAGAGGTTCATTTTCCAAACTGTTGCAGAGCCGCTTTGTAGAATTCCAGCCCTAGATTCATATGACGTAAGTGGCTTTCCAAAACTTAAAAGGAGCTTATACTCAGGAGGAAGACAGACTTTTTATCCTGTGTGGTAGTGATAGGACAAGGGAGAATGATTTTAAACTAAAAGAGGTGAGATGCAGAATAGATGTTCTTCAGTCAGAGGGCAGTGAAGCAGTGCCCAGAGAAGCTGTGGTGCCCCATCCTGAGAGATGATCAAGACCAGGTCTAGATGGGGCCCTGGGCAGTCTGAGCTGGTGGTGGCAGCCCTGACCATAGCATGGGGCTGGAGCTAGATGATTTTTAACTCAAAGAAATTCCATGTCTGGTTTTACACCAAGTCTATTCCCAGTCAGGGGCATGCTCACATCATTCCATTATCTTTGAAGAAGGATCCATATGGCTCTGAATCAGGAATAACATTTCCAGGTTTTTATTTAAAAAATATCACTTATCAGAAGTAATTGCAGTTTAATATGTTAGCTCTTTACAGTTCGGCCAGAGTCAGTGAATGAAGTCCTTCCCATTTACAAAAGAAATACACAAGCTTGCAGCACTCCTAAGATGATTCTTTCTTAAATTTACACATATATCACCTGACATAGACCTGACTCAGAAACAGGATTTCTCCATTAGATTTCACTGCATTTTTGCTGCCTTGACAGTGTCTACAAGTACAGCAATCTTGGCGCTGATGGTGAAAATCTATCATTTTGATTCTTCTTTAAAGTCTATTTCTGTAACTCCTTCAGCTCACTAAGAAAGTTTCCCAAGGTTTGCATAGCAGTCAAGATCATGAGAAATTTATGGTATAAGTGCCATTGAGGAAGAGTCCTGCTAGTTCTAAGCTGTGCTCCAGTTTGCCCTCAACAGCTCATTAATTTTTCTTTCAGACCTAATACTTCATGTCTACAGTTTTCCACATTTGAACTCAGACCATTTACCGTTTTGGGAAAGGTTCACTTCAGCTTGTTGAAATTCCTACCCAAACCAATGAAATGGTTTCAGTGCCTTACCCTACCTGCACCTCAGTTTTATCTTTCTTTGCTGCAGACAAAGGTATAGTTCAAAACTTTAGGAGCAATTTTTTTCCCCCAAAGCTGGTGTGGTTTGTGACAATGAGACTGAAACAGAGGGAAATCACGGAGCACAATCTCCTGCTGTTCCAGCCCTGACAGCCAATAGCTCCAAGCTGAAATTTTTCTATTTCCATAGTATTCCATTGAGAGATAAGTCCCGGAGTAAATTGGTTCAGCAGCCAGGCATTAAAAATGGAAAACTGTCTTAATCCAGCAGTGCTAGTTCAATTACAGTGTGAGTTGCTGAGATGCATTCATACGGTTGTGAAAAATATCTTGAATGATGAAAAGACAGCACAGGACTCTTCATGAATGTCACACAGCTCTATTTTCCCTTATGAACGCCAGACCGCACTGCAATGAAAAGTATTTTCAAAGCAAATAAAACGCTGCTTCTGCAAACATGGGTGCTTAAATATTAATCAGAGCTCTACTGCTACCCTGCTGAAGTACTCAAAGATTTTCTGGCTGTCACTCATTGTAATTCTGACGGTGCTAATGAAATGCTGGTGTCAGCTGTGTGAGCCAGCGACTTGGGAGACTGCAGCAGGTGTTGTTCCCTTTATAAAGATGACTGCACTAGCAATCACTCTCTTCCCATCTGGAAGTGTAGCAAGTGGTATGTAAATGCAAAGAGGGATATACAACATGAGCTGTCCTCTGCAGGTGTTGTGTATGACCCCTCTCTCCCTCAGGTCGCAGGAGCCATGAAGAACAGCTATGTGTGGGCAGAAAATGTGTCCAAGCTCTCTGCCACAGGAAGAGTCTGCTCTGAGAAGAGTTGATGCCTGAATTCCAGGTTTTTCCCTGTAAAGAGTCCCAGGCTGCATGGCTATTTCTTAAGTATGGCATCTGTATCAGAACTGTTTGTTTCCTTTATGAAATGACATTTGAATGGACCTAATTCTGCAGCCAGACTAGATTGATTGCAAAGCGTGTGAAATGTATTTTAGCCCCAGAACTTCAGAGACTTTTCAGAGATAAGAAACAAGCCAGAAAATGATTTTTACCTCTAATTGTGTTTTGTTGTTAGGCCTTGAGCAGCGAGAGGAAGCAAGAACACCATTTAGGTGCACCACCCTAGCCAAAAGAATACATGCGTGTATAAACAATAGAAATTCCTCACATCAAACCTTTAACCTTTCACTGGGTGTGTTCCAACTTCCTGTGTTTTTTTGCTCCGAAAAACTCTTCATTCCATCCTCTCATTAATATACTTGGTACATTTTGAACTGCGTTAATGACAAACAAAATGCATATGTAATTGAGCTTGATAAAAATTAAAATTAAATTAGGAAAACCCTGTATGAAGACAGATGGATCTTTTCAGGTCATACGTTTTCTGGGAGAAGCACTGCATTTTCTTGACTAAGATTCACAGTATGCTAAGATACAGAAACATTCAGAGCTTTTTCTATGCTGCCTACAGTATTTCTTCCATCTCATAAGGCCCACCTACTTGAATTTGTATTTGAGATGTGAGCATTTCTTTTACTCAGGTGCTTTAATTTTGAAAGCATATTCCATTTATTATTATGAACTGGAAGGTACATTTTAAAAGTAATGCTGAAATGCTGGCTGGAAGATTGGATGTTTCATCTGTAGGAATTTTATCCTCAAGTGGAGAGAGATCATTTATTATGTTTCTTAAGTGTGGCTCATGTAAAGCACCTGTGTTTCAGTATCAGCATAGCATTCAGAAGGTGTAAGTGAACTGGGCCTACTGGCTATGAGGACTCTGACTTATGAATTTTACCTTTTCTTCCACTGACCCTTGCTACAGGCTGGCGAAGCGTATTATGAGCTTTCTGGGTCTTCCTTTTAGGAGAAATGGAGGCATACGGAGGGTCTTCTGCGCCCAGCTCTTGTACAGACATGAAGAAATGAAGATGGGAAGTGTGCATATAAAAAGGGAAGTACTTTTTCATACAGCACACAGTATAAATCCCTGGAGAGGGCTGAGGAGGAGGTTACTGTCTGGCCACCTTTTCCGGTTTGGTACCTGCGGTTCAATCCCAGGTTCTGCCTCTTTAGTCTCCCCACATCTCCGCCTGGCACCTTAGCTTAAAACCGGGATATAAATGGCCAGGTAGAGAAGTGCATGAAGTTAGGCAGCTCCACTCTGGTCCTTTTCAACCCAAGCCATGAAAATACGCCACTGTGCACCCTAACAGATATGATAGTGTAGACATACCTGTTGTCTCCATATCATAGTGTGGCAAGCAAATGACACAGGATGGCTGAGAGTAGAAGAGACCTCTGGAGGTCATCTAGTTTTACTCAAGCAGGAAACTTAGAGGTGTTTGACCATGGCCATTTATTTTGAACATCTCCAATGGAGATTCTACATCCTCTCTGGGCAGCCTGTGGCAATGGTTGGTCACCCTCTGAGAGAAAAAGCATTCAATCATGCTCAGACAGCACTTTCTGCCTTTCAGCTTGTGCCCATTGCTTCTTGTCTTGTCCCTGGACACAACTGAGAAGAGCATGGCTCCATCTTTTTTGCAGCCTCCCTTCAGGTATTTATAGACAATGATGACATTCCCTGAGCCTTCTCTTGTTCAGGATGAATTTATCCAGCTCGTTCAGCCTTTCCTTATGCTCCAGTCCCTTCTTAAAATTTGTGTTCCTATGCCAGACTCTCTCCATTATATCCATGTCTCTGTTGTACTGGGGAGTCCAGAACTGGTCACATTAGGCCTTAACTTTCTGTTAAAACATCTTAATCAAAACTAGGTCAGAGTGAATCATAGCATCAGCCTGTTGGATCTTCTCAACCTTAGTGCTGGTAAGTTCACTGAAGATGAGACCTCAAGCTGTTTCTTTCGCATACTTATAGGGAAATAAGTTTGGAGAACAATCTGTGGTGCTCAAGCTGATTGCATGTGTGGGGCAGGATGGCTCGGTAAGACCACTTGCATCACGCCCTATCCCAGAAGAGATGAAAGCTGGCTCTCTGAGCAGCATGCTGTCTGGGCAACTTGCTGATGGCCCACTGCGGCACTGGGTGTGCTGCTGCCATTGCTTCTGAGCAAGGGGAATCCTTTGCATCATGAGGGAGCAGCTGTTTGTTTTTCCCTTTCTTCTTTAGACTTAAAATATCAACAGCAGTTTGAGTTGCCACAGCCCCATTTCTCTATTTTTTCTTCCCCTTCCTACTTCCCGAGATAGCTCTGCCCCCCCATTTTCCCACAAAAGCAATTGCTACCCTTTAGTCCTCCCATGATGTCTCCTTCCCTCTCTCTCTGGGGATGTTGCTTATTTTTTTCTAAGGATGAAAAAGGTGTTATCCACAAGTTAGTTAGCACATGGATTCTAAATCTATATGTATTTATGAAATAACAAATAATAGTTGAAGCAACAAATGAAGTACATAGGGCTGCAGATGAAGCTGATCTGCATACTGACATATGTTTGTGCATTTTATGTTTCTGATAGCACAGCTCTAAAATCAGCCAAAAAATAAAATGTTGAAATTAGAATTAATATATTATTACTTATTATTACAAGACTCTACATAAACTAAGGAGAAAAAAAGCAGTACTTAGGCGTACAGGAACAATGAAAAAAATACATATTTCTGGGGACACATCTTTCAAAAAACAAATTCAGCATCCCAATAAATATTATCTTAACACACTAATGAAATATTATGTTAAGGAACAGAAATGATCTTATATATTCTGAAGATCAATTAACAGCTGCCTTAAAAATGATAATTTGCAGATGATAAAATATCTTGTATGTAATTTTATCTGAATTGCTCCTTGTTTATATACGCACTGCAAAGCGTATGTAAAGTATGTATACTTTATTAGTTGTAGAAAACATTCTTTCCATAGTCAGTCTAGGAGAAATAGTTTCATATAAAAAGCTTTCTATTTTCAATAGCATCTTAACATTCCATCTTTTTTTTTGCATACTGGATTTCAGGAAACAGAGGAGAGATTTTCCTGAGTAACATGATTCCTCTTAACCCCTCCTCTGGAGATCTGCTTCAGGTGAAAGATACCATGTGTTGCATCCAGAAGCTGGTGCTCAGGATGAGAAAACAAAAAGCACTGGTAGGGGAAAAGGTGGAAAGCCTTAGGAGGAGAGGCCCAGAATGTATCTATCTTGATGTTACGAAGATGACTGGTAGAGATTGCTACTCTAGTCCCTGTGTGATGTGGTGAGTATGGGTTTCCATGTGAAAAAAAACATGCATAATAATGGTGTGTTAACTGAATTTGAGAAGCACCAGAGGCAGTGCTTGGAGGTTTTTAAAATATCTTAAAAATGATATCACCTGGCTTTTCTGAAATAAATGCATGTGTGTTAAATCTTTCATCTCTGTTCACCCACTACAGGCATCCATTGTTCACTACTCACCAGCATGTGCAGTGCTTCCTCTGAGCTTGAACGGAAATACAGCCCTGACTCCCCAGATCTTGAGATCTCGGTAGAGAGTACAAATGCCTCATAGCTTTCTGTCCGAGGGATTCAGGCCATAGAGTGGCATTAGAAGGCTGTTGCAATATGGAAAGGGAGTATCTTCAAATCCAGATTTGATCTTCAGGACTGCATGATTGGAGTACCCTGGTGTTGCAGCATTGCTGGTAGAAAGAAGTAAGGAGAAGCATGCCCTGGTGCTTGTGTGATACTCTACAAGAGCGGAGTAGTAGTGCGGAAAGACCCAGGACAATTCTGAGCAGTATTATGAGTTCCTGATGCTGAGGTGGAGGTTAGTCAGAAAGTTGCTGTGCTGCAGGGCTGGTTGTATCATGCAGGGGGATCCTGGAGTCATGAATGAGGAAGAGATGTGAAGAGGTAGGAAAAAATGGGTAGATCTTAAGGTATATGGCTGCCCATTAATTGAGCTGTCTCCATTTTGCCTTCTGTATTGGGTGGTCTCTACTTCAGGGATTCAATGCTTCATCTGGGGTGTGAATGGTAGGGTGGAGGTACAGAGAAAGGATCTGCTCTGTGTTTATTATCAGGGAAATAAAACTACACCAAAAGCAACTGAGGATTGCAATAGGTGAGAAGGCAATCTTGTGTCCTATTGAATGATCTGCTCTTCTAAGAACTGTTTTTTCTGCCTTTCAGAAGAGAGGCAGCGCTCATGTAGTTAAAGAGGAGGAGAACAAGAATGAGGCTGATAGATTTATTTTTCAGACAGTGTTGTATTTTTGGATGCTGACAAGCTTTAACATGAGTTATTGTAATCTAAGCTTATTGGTTGGTAGAATTGTTTTGCCTGTCCTAAATGTCCCTCAGATGCACTTGTTCCATAAAGCTTGTCACCAAAGCACCTCTGCAATAACAAAAATCTGTCATATCCTCTTCGTTTGTAGTCAAGACTTAACATTGCTGCTACTTATCAATCTCATGGCTTCAGTGCAGTTTCTAGGTACGCTCAGGAAGGTGTCTTCTCAAGGTGCACCTAAGCCAAGAAATATAGCAATGAAAAGAGTTGTTAAATTTCAGCTGCTCACCTGTAGTGGGGATGCAGTTGCAATTTATATTGGTCAACATTTATCTATGGAAAGAATCAAAGCAAAACCGAAAAGCTCCACTTTTCTCCTAATCATGTTATTTCATCAGTGATTCTGCCTTTGGCCATTTCTATTTGTGTGAATTGACTATGTGTTATTGTAGACTTGCTTAGAATTCTGCTAAGACATAAGTGTTAAATCTTAAAAACTGTATTTCCTTTCAGTAAGAGAGATCCCATGGAGCTCACAGGCCAGCTGTTCTGACCCACACGCATTCTATTCGATAACAGTAGGAGGCAAATAAGGCCACATCTGCCCAACCTGCCATTTCCTCCTGGATGAGCCTTTCTTTGTATATTTGTTTAATATGTAATATTAAAGTGCAATTTGGCTTTTAATCTCCTACTAAAGCAAATGAGATGGGAGAGCTGATTTTGCTTAAGTGTGCAGTAGTGAAAGCCATTTGCAAGAAGATTTTTCTTTGCAAAAAGGCCACGATTAAATAATTAATTAAACTATGATTAATATTTTTTTTTATGGCAGGAAAAAGATCTCAATAGGATAAACACCCAGAGTATTTCTCATTAATTTAGAAGTCACTTTTATGAGAACAATAAAGAAATCACTTGTCAGAAGATTAGTTAGTTGTTAGCTAATTCTTGATTTTTGTAGTGATGGATTTGCTGTCTCTGGTGGCTTAGATCATGCATTCAGATTAGCAGTGATTTTTCTTAAAGTCTGGTCTTGGTGCTTGATCACATAAAAATTAAACTTCTATTAAAAAATAAAAAGAAGGAGATTTCAGCAGTCTAGAGAAGAATTTAGGAATGCTACTTGAGGCAGTTGTTATCTGGATGAAGTGTAGGAGAGGGTGAAGGTGCTGATGGGGTACTTGAAAGATGGATTATCCAGTGGCTGGTGGTGATCCAGGTGGAGGCACAGCAGAACCAGCAGCTGCTCATGTATGTCTGAGCATAAATCACTGCTTTTATTGCTTGATACTTATGCTGTCCCTACACCCCTGCTGTGACTTGCCTATGTGCTTCAGAAAGTGGAAAACCATTTGCTCATTAATCATGGGTGGGCTTGTGTGTGGGCGTGGGTCCAATCATTACAAATTAGCCTTTTATGCAACCTGGTGGAAAGACATTACAGCCTTTGTTCAGTACGGCTGTCCATAAATTACAGCATCCCCTCTCCCTGTTTTGTTGCCATGTACAATATGTCTGGCTGCAAGTACAAGTTGATACTATGCCTATAAGTCTTTTTCTCTCATTTTTTCACTTTCTTCTTCTTCCTCTTCTTCTTCCTTTTTTTTTTTCTTTTTTTTTTTTTTCTTTCCCCTTTATAAAGCATTTTCAGAATTTCAGGGGTTGTAAGGGACCTCTGAAGATCAAGTCCAACTCTACTAAAGCAAGTCCCCTGCAGTAGGTAGCACAGCAACATATCCAGATGTGTCTGAATATCTCCAGAGAAGGGAATTCCACAACCTCTCTCTGGGCAGCCTGTTCCTGTGCTCTGTCAACCTCACCGGAAGGAAGTTCTTCCTTGTCAGTATGTAATTTTCTGTGTTGCGCTTTGTGCCTGTTGCCCCTTGTTCTATTGCTACATGCCACCAAAAAAGGTCTGCTCCCACTGACCTGACTTTGGCACATTAGATACTTACAAACAGTGATGATATCCCCTCTTAGCCTTCTCTTCGCCAGGCTCAATAGTCCCAGATCTCAACCTTTTCTCATAAGGAAGGTGCTCCAGGCCCCTCATCATCTGTGTAGCCTTCTGCTGGACTCTGTCAGGGGTTCCCTGTCTTTTTTGAGCTGAAGAGCACAGAGCTAGACACAGTAATTTGGATGTGACCTCACCAGGGCAGAGTAGAGGTGGAGGATCACCTCCCTCAATCTGCTGGCTGCTCTCTTCTTCTTCCTAATGCAGCCCAGGATATCATTGGCATTCTTGGACATAAGGACTCGTGGCCAACCTGTTGCCCACCAGAATCTCCAAGTCCTCTGCAAAGCTCCTCCCCAGCAGGTCATCCCCTAACCTATCCTGATACATGACTTTATTCCTCCCCAGGTGTAGGACACATGTTGAAGCTCATCAGGTTGCTCTCCACCTAACTCACTAGCCTGTCCAGGTCTTGCTGACTGGCAACACAGCCTTTGGTGTGTCAGCTGCTCCTCTCAGCTTCGTATTGTCAGCAAACTTTTCCTAATGTATAGCTAACATGAAATAATGATCATGCTATTTAAAACTCTATTTGAAAGAAGACATCTGTGTTTCTTATGTTGTGGTGGCAAGATTAACTCAGCATTCTGCACTATTCTTGTTGGTTACACTTCTAATTAGCCCAGAAGTGAAAACTCCTGGAACTTAGTCTGCAGCAGGATTAAATTGAGATTGCAAATACCAACTTTTTCACTGCTAAAGAAGAAACACCAGTCCTTGAGTACAGTTTTCTAGTGACCATCTCCTTTCCTGAGCATTTCTGTGCAAGTCATCACTCCTATGCCAATATCACCAGTGCTTGTGCTAAGATTATACCACAGCATAGAAGGGGAAGAAATGTTCACCTGTAAGGAAAGCAGGAGAGTTAATGTCTGGACAGGAAACTTTTGAAGATATTTTATCACTTCTCGTATGAGAAAATATGAAAGGGGAAGTAAGCAGTGGGAGAGAATTCAGATTCATAGTGGAAGATGTGACTTGCAATATTTTCACATTGAGTCTAGAAAAAGAATATGAGGAAACACTGCCTTATTTAAAACATCTTCCCTTCCATGTGTGAAAGTTTGCAGAATAAACAAATCAAAGGTGTGTCTGTGAGCTGCCATGTTGTCATTTCTACAGTGAGGATGTAGCAGCTGGAGAAAGAAGGGATGGGAAGTGGGGATTTGCAAAGATCTGGGGTTCTATGGAAACTGGAAATCCTGTTGCTCCCTTCCTATTATGTACACCTGACTTTTCTCCTCTGAAATACCTTGGCTTTTAGAACTGTATGCTTCAGTCTCTCTTTCTTTTCAAGCAGGGCTTTTATTCAGGCATGCAAGTAAAAACTTGCATTAACTTCCACGAAGATGTAGAATTGTCATCATCTTCTTTTCAGGCTTTTCATCACATGACTACTTAAAAAAAGGGTTAAAAACATAATCATTTGTGTTCAAAACAGCTCTTACTTTATAATCACATTAATTTCCAGCCTATACAGATGACATATGATGGACTTCAGTGCAATTATACCCTGAACGTAACTAAAGAAAGACAAGAAACAAAACATTTCTGGTTTGTTTGAGTCAGGTTTATTTTGGTGATCCTTCTCAGCTGTGCACAGCAAAACAAAGCCATTGTTATGCTCTCAGTGAGAGTTGTGTTTATATGCCATGACACTACCAGTACTGAATCACAGTGTTCTTCCACCTCTCCCAAAAACAACAGTTTGCCTACAAGCATTTAAGAAAACGTAGTTATTGTTTTCTTGTATATATTCATACGGCAATATGGGAAGGCCAAAACCACAGCCAGAGTCCTGTTGACACTTCTGTTTTCACACAAGTGAAATTTACTGTAATTTGCTTAGAAAAGAAAGGTTGCTCTGCCATCACAGAAAATCAGAAGCATCTCAGGAATACCGGTTAAAAAAAATAAAGAACCATTCTAGTTGGTGTGCTGAGGGTGATTTGGGCTTGCTTGGAAAGATATTCAAAGCCACGATCTGCTATCTGCTTCTCACAGTTAAACAGTTAGTAGCATGCTGTGTTCCCTACAGGGCTTTTGCTGATCTCTGCCTCCACCAGAGCTGTCTCTGGAGGCCTTCATCACTGCTTTCGTGTGACCTTATAGCTTTCCTGACTCATCAGAACTTGTTTCATGTCAGGAGACCATGTTCTTTGGCATGTAGCCTGCATCCAAATGACTCCTCCCAAGGTCATGTCAGAGTACTTTAGGGATATGACTTTTTTTTTTTTTTTTTTGCTTAAGACCTCCTTTTGCATGTGTATGCAT